ATTGACGGCATCACCACTCTTGTGCTTATTAAGTAAAATAAGGGTTATTTGAACACATGCACTGTGATACCGACAGTGGGTCTGATAACTGAGCCAGCTACTAAGTGACCAACAGGCAGGATATGCTGGATGAAGGGATGACTCACGTCCCGAGTGGGATGGAACGGGCCGGCATGAGATTTCATCGTGCTACTCAGAATGGTGCACGATTTAAAATTTATGAATTATTTCTGGAATTTTCCATTTAATATTTTTGCACCGTGGTTAACTGAAACCATGGAAAGTGAAATCTCAGATAAGGAGGGACTACTGTAGTTAAATTAGGACTTAGAAAATGGTATAGGAAACAGGGGACAGTGACGGTGGAGAGGGAAAGAAATGTCAAGCCCCAGAAGAAAAACCTAGCAAAACACAGGAGTTCGGAGTTCAGTTTCAGAGGTATTGAATTTAATGGTGCCTAAGGGGCATTCAGGCCAGCCAGGAGACTTCCACATGGAGGAGGCCCTGAGGTCGTCTCCCAGGCTAAATAATAGCGAATAATACCCTTGCCTGCAGGAAAGTGGATACCATTCTGAATCTGACTTCTGTAAGTGACTTTATAAATTACTCTGGGCTCTGTGTATGTGGGTGGCTTCAGATCGTCAGTAAGGGCGCATGATCAGCCTTGGTCACCAGTGTCTGCGCTCCCCAAGTGGGCTGGTACAGTGGGGTGGCCTGGGCTGGGCAGGGATTTGTTTTCTTTACAGCAGGCCGCAGCTAGACTGGTCCTCCCTTAGGGGACCTACTCTGCCCTGTGGAGCCAGATGGAAGTGGGCGTGTGGTGGCATGTCCCTCTTGGAGGCTCCAAGGACAGAAGAAGCCTTCTGCCTCAATTCCCTCAGTTCCTCTTAGGTAAGGTAGTGTAGTGACAAGTCTGTGGTGATAAAAATAAGCAAAATGAGAATTAAGTTTGCATTTTAAAAAAACTTGATAAGATGTTCCAAATAATTTCTAGATGGTGAAAATACAAAACGAGACCCTAATAGCTCAAAAATCCTGTTTGGTTGCCCACTCTACGAGAAGAGGTGGGCTTTTTTTTTTTTAACAGATGGGAGCATTTTATTATTATACTGTGTTTAGCACATCGAAGATAACATGTAACTGATTTTGTCAAGACTGGCCACTCCAGGCCTACATGGAGGTGGGGAGAGAAGAAAGAGGTAGAAGCAGATAGAGATGCCCATAGAACTCTGTCTTGCCTGGGATGGGAGAAAGCACTGGAACAGGCAGAAGCCCAGGAATATGAGCCTTGATGAGCCAAAGAAGACTGAGAGAAAGCAAACTGCCGACGGCAAAAGAGGACCGCCGACCAGGAGCCAGGCTCCATCACCACAGAGGCGTCATCTGAAACCATCCTGTTATGATGCCACTCCCTCCCGCACCCACACGGAGCGGAAGCAGGGACCTTACACAGCTCGGGACTCCCCAGACAGGGCCGAAGCACCTCTACGGGACCGGCCACTCGGCATAATATCCATCAGGCAGAGAGGAGGGAAGGAAACATCTCTACAGGTTCTTAAATGCTCCCCACTCCTCCTCGCCCCACCTCATACACGGTGCTCTTAAATATTAACATTTAGGAAGAAACAGACAAAGGTCTACAAGCAAGCAAAATAGGTAAGTGCATCCGGAGAGGCAAGTGTGAGGCCCGGGACTGGTTCTCAAGCTGAGATGGGACGGAATGTGTCAGGGAGACTGTTAATGAACGCTAGGTAGCATGGCAGGGGGTGGGGTGGAGCACGGACCCGAAATCCAGACAAGAGCCTTTGGTGTGAGGAGAAGATTTCCTAGTCATTAAAGTCAGCGGCAGGGACTACTCCTTTGTGACAGCTGGAAATATATCCCCCTCCCCCCTCCCAACAAATCCTCGGCTACTCGCCTTTATGCCCTTTACGATGTGTTTCTATAGCTGACAGCGGTGATCTCTTTTCCTGGAACTCTAAGAGCAGGGCACAGAGGAACCAAAACTTACCTAATTATCGGCAGGGCCTATTGTCCTAATACGGTTACCATTCTAGGGAAAAGAAAAGCCTGATTCCTTCCCAGGAAGTGTGTGAGGGCAAAGGCTCACACTGAGAAAAGAAATAAGAAAAGCTCACTAGTCACATGGATGACGGGAAGCCAGACGCCCGAGTTAAAATCTCTTGACGGAACCTTAAAAGCTACATGAGATCGGGAAAGGATGCTCAAGACTTGGGAGGACCGTTTCATCCTTAAAAAAGCCAGCTCTCTAAATAAATAGAAAAAGGGCTGAAAGTGCAGATAACAGTATGTCAGCAGAGGGTCGCCGGGGGCTGAATTAGAGATGACTTTCTTTGTTTTTCCTCTTTGAGTATCCGTCCTGTCTAAATTTTTGTAATGACTACTTGGGCTGAGTTGAGGAGCCAAACAGGTGGACGAAAGGGAGTAGGTCCATCTCAGGCAGAGGGGAGACCATGTAAAAGCACAGAGGCATGAAGCCACACGGGGCAGCACGGATCATGTGCTCTAGTTTGGCTGGAAGGCAGGTGTGAGCAGAGGCGGGGGAGCAGGCGATGGGCCTGCAAAGAAGGCAGTGCCCTGAACACAAGGGCTCCAACGCGCCAGGCGGGGGGATCTGGGAGCCAGGGAAAGTGAGGGCGCTGTATCAACAGACTGCCGTCCACAAGAAAAAAGTTACACGTAATCACTAATCCCTCCCCCGTGAATAACTTCATTACCCTGCGGGGACAGCAGATTTAAAAGTACTGTTCTGAAACCTCTAAATGGTTCCTTTTTTTCCCACAAGGAGGGCCTGAGACCTAATCTGATTAACTGAATGGACACAGATGTAATTGGCAGTTTCAAAAAACAATTTACACTTTTTTTTTTTCCAAGCTTTTTCAATGGATGAACATCCGGAACTCACTTGACTATAAACTGTGTACACAGTTCAGAGAGAAAAGTGAAATTGCTGTGCCCACTCCAAAGCTCACACCCCTTCCTCCAGAAGCAGAGGTCTGCCCACCTCTGCGGCCACATGTGTTATTTACGGGACAAAGCTACTATCCAGCGCTTGACTTGAGAATCTTCTCTTGGCCTTTCCACGGCACATCCAATAAATTCAAAGGATGCCAAGCAAACTGTTAACCCAGACATACTTGGTTAGAAATATAAAAATATTTATCACTAGTCCTTTAAGAGGACCCCAGTTTTTCATTTTTGTCTTGGTAAGGTGACATTTTATTTCATCCTGTTTCCAGTTTAAAAGGAAATGGCACTGGAGAGACAAGGCAACTTTTCCAAGTTACTGCACTGTCTTCTCTGAAAGGGAGAAAGGAATGTCAAGGAAGGGGGCGGGGAGCTTAAAAAGAGTGGAACACCAGCAAGCAGGGCCTCCTCTCCTTTTCACCTTAAGTCTTTTCTCTCCCTCATTCACAGCTTTAGGTTCTTTGTTTGTTTAACAAACCATTACAATCATACCCAGTTCAATGGGGAGGAATGTGAACCTCTCTAAGTAGCTGTCCTCGCAATCCACATGTGTGGTCCATCCGCAGCCCATCCGCAGGGGCTTCAATGTGCCGTCCTGTGCTCCTGTCGCCCTGGAGGCCAGGCACCTTGCTTACAATAAGCCCCAATTTCCCGCTGCCGCATGCTTCCTGCTCCTTCCCAGTAGCCTATAGCGATGCCTCACGTTGTTCTTCCTTCCCGGCTTGGCTGGCGACTGCCCTGTCCATTTTGCCTGAGCTTGTCCCGCTAAGCTCCAGAGACACACAGGGCCTGGGGTGTTCACCACCCCCTACCTGTCTTCAGCCCACAGACTCACCACCCAATACTTGGCAGTCACATTCCAGGATCTTACTGGTTGTCACGCACCGTCTTCCAGTGTCAATCATACAGTGACCGGAAGATACAAGGGCAAGACACTCCCACCCCCCCACACACACCCCTAATGAGAACTGCCAGTGCCTTTCTCAGTTCCTAGTAGACATGCTGGCCACGCTGGGATGAATTTCAATTTCTAGCCAAGAAATCATGATATTATTTAGTAAGAATATTCTATTTCAAATGGAGCCAAAAGAACCTTCAGTAAAACAATATTACATTTCAGTTGAACTCATAAAGTCCTCTCATGCTACTTTGTCTACTAATGCCCATCTGACAGCCCTGTGAGATGGGCTAGAAAGGCATCTTTAACCCCATCTAACAGATGAGGAAACTGAGGCCCAGACACCTCAGTCCTTTGCCCACAGGCACTCACTAATACAAAGATACTGCAGGCAATACACTGTACTACGCAAAGCCTAATGCACAGCGTTAACTTCTAAGAGTGTTAACTCCCATTAATGTCATGACTGATGACGACGATGGTGACCAGAGGCCAAACCCGGATGTTCTGAGCTAAACCAAGCACTCTCCACTCCCACCTTGCCATCCTCCCCGGCTAAGCTGTCTACACAGCAGCGGACTTCAGCAGTAGCTTTTACCGCAGTATTTTCAAAGCCTTGGAAGCTGTAGCTGGACTCCCTAGTGCAACTGGTACGTGACCAGCATCTTCCTTAGGCTTATCAGTCAACATCTTCCACAAATGGGAGGCAACCTTTACACATCTTCTTATGTACACAAGTGAGGAGTGAAGATAGGGCAGCTTTAAAGCTTTTGAACTGATGGCGTTGTCAGCAGAAAATTCCAGAGATCTGCAGATATTACGGGGGCTGTGTGTGGGGAAGGCAGAGGATATGAGAAGTTGTTAACTGCAGGATCTGATTCCCCGAAACACAGAGGATACTAATTTGCTTTTTAAAAAGAGAAGGTCAAAAGAATTCTGTTCTAAGGTATTTCACAGTTTGAGGGGGAAATGTAGCTCTTCTCTACCAGAGGCTTTTTGAAGTGCCTTGAACCTCCTGCATGTCCTTGACCTCTTTTACTATGTGTTTACAAGCAATTACTAATAAACATGCTCAGATAGAAGTAATTTTTAAAAGCGATCATTGCTTGCGTACCTACTCGGCGACAGGAAACATCAGCTCCAAGGCAGTCAGGGAGACCTCTCAGAAGTTTGAGGCTTCAAACCTGTAAGAAGAGATCTTGCACACCTTAAGTGAACGAAGCTAGAAAAACACTCCCCCTGCCCCCCACCCCCGCTTACGTGGCAACTTGAGCTTGCTTACTTCAAGAGCACAAACACATACACAACTGCTAAGGTGTGGAGGAGATTTTCTCCTGCTTTTTAGGCATTTTAATAGACGATAGATCAAGTTCAGATGTTAAAATCCTACAGTATAATACGTCAGTAGACCCACCACCCTTAATTTTTAAATGTCTCAGATACACCATATGGCAAAAGTCTGTAACATTTAGATCATCTGATATATTTAAAAGGTGTGCTGAAGTTCATAATGTTGTAACTTAAAAGGTTTTCAACGTCTCATGTAATCTTGCCCAGGAAGATCTTTAAGTATTTATATTATATCCTTTGTCCTACTTGCAACTGGATTAGAAAAACCCTGTTGTTTTCCCCTGCTTTCTGCAAGTAGAAAAAAAAAACAACAACCATGAAATTGCTTACATAAAATATTCAAAATAGAACTCAGAGGAAATGGCATTTTTAAAAAATCAACAGTATTAGAATACCATAAAACGGGTATGCAAGTCTATGTAATAACAGAACCTAAAACAAATTATGAATTGAAAAAAATCAGCAATAAACAGTAGACATTCATTTTCAACAAAAGCCTCACATAAAAAGCTTCATATCTTCATATAGATTTATCAACCGTGCAGGGTGAAAAGGTGAAGTCTCCAATTTGCATATACAGTTCCATGGTTACCAAACCTGGCTATACGTTAGAATTACCAGGGCAATCTTTTAAAAATACAGATTCCTAGGCCACAGTACAAACTAACACTGACTGACAGCGTCGCTGGGGCCCTGGGAACTTATGTTTTCACCAAGTCTCCAGAAAGGTCTACAGCCAGCTTCCCACCACTGATCCCTGGTGAGCATTTGGAAACGGGTATCTCTGTTCACCAATCAATTATAAAAGTTGGCTTCTTCCAACTAAGACTATTCTAACCAGTCAATCCTCTTAGGGGGGAAGCTTTTCGGGATTCTCTTTACTGGTACAAAGGTAAATCTATTATGTAACAGCCAATTATATCTCACCTAAGCGATTTATTCACTTGGTTGCCTGTTTTCTTCTCTTAATTTGCTCAAAAAGGCTATGTCCATTTATTTTGAATAAGTTATTAAACAGGAAAATTAAGTTAAAAACAGGAAAATTAAGGCCATTTTCAGACAACTAAAGTTTTAAAATAATCCACCACAATTTAGGGGAAATACTGGAGGTGAGTAGGTTCTCTGAATCACCCATAGTATTTGTTTTAAACGTACTCCTTGCTTTGCAGATGCATAAACACTTCACAAATTATCCTCATGGTCAAGCTCTCTTCTCAAAATACTCAACCTTTATCGTGGTGGTTTAACTGGGTGGTCTCCAAAGGCCTATATTAATTTTTTTTAAGAGCTGTAAAAAACATTAAGGCAAGAGAGTGCAATTCTTCTGGATGATTCCTCCTTTGCTCCTACCCATCTCATCAATGGACAATACCAATTTATGAATTTATGAAGAGAGGCAGAGGCTCTCTTCTGCTTCACTAGAAAGGGCGCACATGACATGAAGTACGCAAACCAGGCAGTGGAGTAGCTTAGCTTCATTGTCAAAATATTCAAATTATCACTAAAAGAAAGAGATTCCTTTCTGAATTCAACAATACTCCTTGGCCTCCGAGGGCTCACACAGGAGCTTATTCTTAAGCCGTTCAATGTAAGCAGCACTAGTGAAAGCGGAGAACTCTGGCAGGGAGGAGATCAAGTCCCTCGGCCTTTCCCACCTGCCATCTCAGCCCCAGTTTAATGCTTAAATAGTTAACAATGCAACAGAGAACCTGAAAGCATGCGTGGCCCCAGGGGAAAAATCATGCGCAGTGTACAACAGTTTAATAAAGCAGCGCAGAGGCAGCTAGGAAGAATAACACGTCTGCATGTGACGGGATGCTACTTGCAGACAATGGTTTTTCAGGTCAGAATTTGGATTTCAGAAATCACAGAGAAAAGGTTTCAATATGTCAATTCTATTATTTTTTTTGTAAAGAATACGTTTTTTTTTTAAATGACCCAATAACATTAAACATTTCTAGATATACTTGTTTCTGAGCTTCAGAGTAGGAAGAAAAATCACATTTTTCTAGGAACGAGGATTGGTGCACGGTAAACAGATCAGTTAGAGGGAATTGTCTTAAATAAAGGGGAGATATTTAGGGGGAAGTGATTTGTTTATTCAGTGATGACAAAAACTAAAGTTTCCTGAATCTAGAGCGTTACGATTTCTAGAACGCATTTCTGCTGTCACAATCTGTTTTTCTAAGCATTAGCTTCTGAGCCGCTTTGAGAAACGCGTCTTTTTCTCTGTTAATGAACTGGTTTAGCTGCCTGCTGAGCGCTCACTGAAACCCGAATTGAACAAAGGGATTTCCCTCCAGTTTCAGCTCATTCACTTGGAGCTACTCCTGATTTTGCTTAAGTAAATTCTTCAAACTGACTTTTTTATTTCAAATGATTTGAGTGGGAAAGAACTGGGCGAGCCTGGACACAGGGAGGCCTGCCTCGGCTTCCAGCGAAAGACTCCTCTGGGTTGAGGATGTGCAGGGCCTGTTTTCGAAAAGCCTCCCAGATAAGTTTTTTATTTTCTAAGGACTGTAATTCCAGACGGAAAGGAGCCCACCCGATTTGGCAGATCACAGGCAGCTAAGTCTTACTTCGGGGAGCTGGATCACCGCGACTGAGATTATACCTCTGAAGTGGAGACCGTAAACAGGACATTCATTATTCATTTCACAGCAATGGAGTCGTTTTGAAGACGACAGGAGCATGTTGTGAAAGGGTTGCTCAGAGTTTGAACAGATCTGTGAGCCTGGCACCTGGCCCTCTACCTTCTCTCACACAATCCCTGGGGGACTTCAGTCACCACCCAGGGTTTCAACTACTCCTTGGGGTCACAGACCTCCCAAATCTCTATCTTCAATCCTGAACTTCTTTCATATTTCAGGCGAATCCATCTACCTTCCTCCTGCACCTCTCAGCTTAGATATCGTCAGTGCCCCTGAAGGTCACCTACCCTAGAGAAGGGGCTCCGCACGGCTAACCCGCCAGGCCTGCTCCTCCGCCACCAGCGATTTTAGCCACTGGCACCACTATGGGATAAGAGTTAACGTCTGTTGGATGCTCACCAGGTCATGGCCGTTGTTTTAATCACTTTACTTAATGCTCCAAACAACCAACCGTATGCGGAGGAAGCATTAACCTCATCTTACTTATGGGGAAACTGAGGCTTAGGAGTGACGCCAGTTTGCCCACGGTCACACAGTCAGCAAGCAGCTGGGCCGGGCTCTGCATCCAGAGTGTGGGATTTGAGAGTCCACATTATTAATAGTCAGTCTCTTCACCGTGTTGCTTCCCAGCTGCTCCAAAGTTAGAAACTCTGGAGGCATACGAGATTTTACTCACTGACTAAGCTATACAGATTCTTCGAGCTTATTGTCTCTCAAATCTGTTTCCTTCTCTTCATTTCCATAGTTACCAGTGTTTGGGTGATGTTTTGCCTTCATTACAGCCTCCAAATCAGTGCAGCAGGACAACTCTGGAATGTTACTTCGTTTGTCCTCCCAACATCCTTTCTAGCTCATTTAAAACAGGTGCAGCTTTGTAATTCCTTGTATTTTAGCCCAGATGACGGCAGAAGCAGTCTGTCTTTCTTAACATCTAAACCCAGTGAGGAGACTCTGCCCAATTTCAGGGTCGAGAGAAGGAGAGAGCGGTAAGAGGGAGAGAAAAAGACACTGTCCCCTCCACCCCCAGCTCCCGGGGCTGGAAAGGAAAAGGGGCCCTGGCACAGCTCTGTCCCCAAGGCAGGGCAGAACCCTCTAGAGGACAGCTGTGGGTGTGCTCAGGGAGGCCAGGCCTGGGGCAAGAGTGGCAGGGCTTCAAGAGACCACTACCCCACTGTCATATACCAAAGACCAGTCCTCACCTACCGGGTGCCAGGGAAGTCTCCAGATTCTAGGACACACACTCCACGGGGGAAAGGGAGACACCTAAAAATGACTGCAATGAAATTTCTCTCTAGGTTGACGGCATGGGGAATACAAAAGTGAGTACTTCCTGCATACTTGACACCGTGGAATGAGATTCAGACCTGTGAGGGGCGCCTGAGTAAGGTGCAAAGAATCACAGACTTGTGTGCATCTGTGCTATAGACTAGCTTCAACTGCCACAATGGGAGCCAGATTATTTTTCAAAAAATGCCACCACCCCTCCTCTTGTAGAGAGGAGTGTGGATTCTGCAAAGGTGCTGGGGACCTGGCAGCTGTCCTGTGCTTTAGTCCCGGGGGGCAGGTAGAGAAGGAAGGAAGGAAGGAAACAAGTACAGATGTCGAGAGTTTACTCACAAGATTAACGCCTCTGATTCCTATGCAAATACCTAGAAAGGGAGAGACAGAGAAAGTTTAAGGCCTTTATCTTAAACTCTGAATTGCTTAAAAACCAAAGGAAAAAACAGAAGTCTACTAGGAAGAGAAAAGAGAGGCCAGTGCTGCTAGAATCTTGAGGCCCAGGACACCGCCGCTTCTGAGCCTGGACGAGCCTCCCAGACCAGCTGCCCGGACAGAGTTTCCATCAGTTTGGAAACCAACTGTTTCCAACAGTTCTGGAAACTGTTGGTTTCCAGAAGATGGAAATAAGAGTGTGCTGGAAACTGGGGTGGTGTCAGGGAGGAGAAACGATATAAATGTGACAAATTTGTTGATTCAGAGACGTTGCAGTAACGGCAGGTCCTTGTGACCCCAAATGTCTACAGGGATTTGGACTCTGGGGTCAGTCATGTCCTCAAAACAAATTCCATTTAAATTCTGTGGCTGAATATCTGAGACTTCGGATGAGGCTTATGAAGGCCCTGATGAAAGCCAGAGAGGATTCTAGATAAGCCAAGATGTATCAGCCAGTATGCCGAGATTAGAACTTTTGGAACAGGGAGTTCTGGTTGGAAGCATTTCAGACATACAAGAATCAGCAAATAGGGGACCCCAGTTTCCTGCTGCACTAGCACCCACTAAGTCTGCGCATCCACAGGGAAGACAGACCCGGGAGAGGAGGAGATATCTGGGGAGCAAGTGCCCCATCACAGAGGCAGGGCGGGCCAAGACAGTGCCCCCCTCTCTGCTTCGGTTATTAGGAAAATGAGCATTTGGTATTAAACGGTGCCCAAGAAGAAAACCCCCAGACAGGGAACTTGGAAGTTAGGGTGCGTTGAGCAAGCAGACAGAGGCTCGGAAAACCAGAGTGCAGGGCCGCTCTCCTCTCCTAAGGGTCTGGCCTCTGCTGACACTTGCTTCCCTTCTCACACCAGATGGGGGAGCCCAGATGGAAGAGAGGAGGGGGCAGTCAATGAGCACTCACAGGGCTCAGCCCCAACCCTCACCATCCGACAGGGGCAACCACGTGCCGGAGGCTACCTTCCTACCTGTGGTGCCCCAAAACTTAGTGGCGGTGGAGGGTGTGCTGGACGATGGGGACCGGCCCACCCTACTGGCCAAGAACTCAATTTTCACGTGGCTTCCTTCAAACTACTACTAGCCTGGCAAGTAAAGAGCTTATCAGTAAAGGGACATTTCTACGCACTGGACACCGAGATCCCTACTGGTTCCTCAGCCTCTCTGTTCTCAGACTGGCTCCCCTTCATCCCTTCATTCTAACAATGCCGCTGTCAGAGTGATTCTTCTAACATGCAAATATGCTCCCGTCACTTGGCTGTTTGGAATTCTTCAATGGTCCCATTAATTTCCGTCAGTTGCAACCAAGAGTCCTGACTGATCCACTGCAAGTTTTTAATCAGAAGAGCGATATGCTAAGGGCTCGCGTTATAGAAAGAGACCTCAGACAGCAGGCAGACAGATAATGCTCCTGCATTTATCCATTCTATACATTAAAATCAGTAATTCCATAGGAAAAAACACAGAAAACAATTTTTTAAAGCTGTGCACAAAAAAGACTAACAGCAATAACTGAACACTGAAGTTTCTCTGTAAAGCTGAGTGTTGACAGGGAGCTCTAAATCTCCCCTGAATCGGAACTAGCAAATGGGAACCATTTTAGGGAAACAACAAAAAATGATGATCACCCTACTGTGGTTCTAATTTGCACGTTGACTGTGTGTGTGTGTGCGTCTGTTTTATGAATCACTTTTAATTCCTGTGCTCAAACAAAAAGGGAAGAATTACCTTGGTAAATGCCACATAATGGATCAATTAAGTTACTCCCCAAATAAAGTACACTTTGTCATAGTATAAACACGCATAACTCCTAACACTATTTTAAACACATTGATAGAGATATGTGCTTTATTTATTAATTGTACCCACAATAGTTAACACCCTCCTATATGATGACCCCCCCAATGCCCTTCATCCCCAACGGCCTTCACTTTAACTTTTTGTTTGTTCAGGGAGTCAAGGAAGTTAAAAAAAAAAAAAAAAAAAAAAAAAAAATTAATGCTATTTCTTGGATAGTAACTTTCCTTACCTCAAAGTGGTATGATAATGTGTTTTACTCTCCCTTATTCTTTTACTAGAAGCATACTCTACTTAATACTAGGTTGTGTTCCTACAGTTAGTTAAAAAACGTTAACCAAATGATACTATTCTGCTGGAGGAAGTCCAAGAAAGATGGGCTGGTGGAGTGCAAAGAGCAGCGGCTTTGGAGTCACATGGCTCTAGGTCGGAACACTGCTCTGCTACTTGCCAGGTAGGTAACCTTAAGCAAGTTCCCTAACTTCTCTTCATGCTTACATCTCTCTACCTGGCAGAGCTGTTGTAAGATTATGCATTACGTATGTCCATACGGGGGCACAATGACTGGGGCAGAGTCTGAAGTTTATGTACAAGGTAGATGTGGCCTGTTTAGTAAGTATCAAGAATGATTTTATACACTGGGTAAGTTCACAACTAGGAAATATTCATAACCTGTTTCAGAATACAATACATATAACAGAAAGTATGAATTATTGGTTCACTTCAATAATCTTTCTTTAATTTGGATCATGACACAATTCCATTCTCTAACACATACTTGTAAAAGAAGTTTCTAATTATTTCCTGCCTGCTTCAAAACTTTGTATGTCATGTATTTGAAAGATTTTTAAATTCTTAAGCAGTATAATATTATTAGCTGTGCTTTTAATGGCAATGTCACATTTAACTAGAGGAAACAATTACAAATAGGCCTGGCATGAATTGGTCTTACAGGTATCATGAAGTCACCCAAATGATATACAGAAGTGATTCTGGCACATTTGGATGTTGCTAGAATCTTTCTTTTGAATGTATGAGTGGGGAAGTGGATTAATTTCAATTAGAACCATTTGGAGAACAGGAATTTAAACACACACATCTAATATTTCACTTTGGCCCTTCACCTGGAGCAGCTGTGGACAGCCTTTCTAGAAGTCAGTCCAAGAGCAAAATAAATTTGGAAGTGGTTCATCTAGTTTAGGAGAAAAAAAAAAAAACCAAAAAAACTCAAGTGTACAATGGGATATAAGAAAACTTACAAAGAAGACTGGAATAAAAAAATACGGCATATTGCAGTCAAGGACATTTTGCAAAAAACTATGTGGAGAGAGGCCAAAAGTTATGGTTAAGCAACACTGGTAGCACTAAAGCTGCAAAGTAGGGGGAGGGTTCCTTTGGGGTGAAGACGGCAATGGGCTTAAACAGAGAACGAATACACGTCACAGGAGAAGAACAACCCAAATGCTGGATATGAAATTTAATGACTAGGTGTCACTATTTTGAAACAGGCGTTTAAAACAAATCATCATCTCTATATGTATGATGGAGAAAAATAAAAATCAAAACTTCTGATAAATATTGGGGATCCTGTCGACCACGAGTTCCCTCAAATTTAGGGGCAAATTTAGGTTACCTCCACTGGATTTAGAGGCATACTTATTTCATAATTTTAGGAAATTTGGACAGAATATATGCAAATTGAGAATCACCTCACATTATGACTTTAGGAGCATGATTTAGAGACTGAATTGTCATGGATGCAACATACTAAATACGATTCTAAATGGAGTCTCATACCCCCAATTTTCCCCTAGCATTAATTTGTTTTTCTTTGAAAACGTCTTTTTAAGTGTCAGGGAGGGAGATCACAAGTTTCTAGGAAACAAGTCATGATAAATAAAAGGCATCTGTATAGTGCCCCTTATTTCTAAAGTTATAGGAGTATCAATGACAGTTCTTAGCATGTTCTCTTGATTTTTCTAAAGAGGAAAAAATAGGCTTTCATATTCCCCAGCCGTAATTTTTCCCTCAAGGTCTGCAGTTCCTCAAATGAAAATTCTCGGAGAGCAAGTGTTTTCTGGAACATAACCCCCTCTACCGTGGAGAGCGGGAAGCTTTGGCGTGTGCTCTAACGTAGGAGAATGAGAACACAGACTCACAGCTGGCCACAGAGAGCAGCCTGGGCAGAAGTCAGAGGGTGTAGCGGAGACACACTTACCTTTCTAAGTTTGAGGTACAGAGGAGTTTCAGATGTGACATGAAACATCAGATGTGAGAGCAATCCTAGAAGAGGAAAAAAATGTCAAAAGGTTAAAGAAAAAAAAAAAGGCATTGAGAAAAACCACACCGATACTGCGTTAGGAGACATTTATATACAGAATGTGAGTTCAGGAATGCCAGGATCAAAAACTTCTTTCCGTCAATATGCCATCGTGTTATATTCCAACCTTCCAGAGACACACCTCTAAGTTCTTACAGGATTTTTAGTTTGAGAGAGACAATGTGGTGACGTGGTGACGAGCTGGGGCCATGGTGTCAGAATGCCTACATTCAGATCCAGGTGTCACCTGGAGCCACTCAGAAACCTCACACCACTTGCTGAACAGCTCTCTGCCTCAGCTTCTCGCCTGTAAAATGGAGATGATAACCATACCTATAGCCTAAAAGCCTTTTGAGGATTAAATGAGTTAACGTGAGTGAAGTGCTGAACACGGCACCTGGGAAGCAAGGTGTACTCCTGTATTTGCAATTCTTTTCCAGAGACCCCAATTCACGTGAAAATTTCTCAGAGCCTCAGGAAGAAATCAGATGATAATCAGAACCTTTTGTAAAAGGGTCAACTAAGAACGTTATCCTTTAGGAAAAGGAAGCAGGTACCCAAGCAGGGCTGAGGGTGCACTGGGGAAGAGAGGGAAAAAGATGACAAAGAGCAAGGAAAGACCATTAAAAGGCCCAAACCAAACAAACAGGCAAACAAAAACCAAACCAAACAAACAAACAAAAAAACCCAAAACCAAAAGGAACCTTTGCTTAACTGCAATTTATTTTTTCAAAGACAAGCTTATTACTCAGAGGAGAGGCCTGAAGGGCAGAACTTGTTGACGGTAAGCATACCCGTCTTTCTTGTAATTCAACCTAACCCATAAGGAGGATGTTTCCCTTTCAATGACTAGATCAGCCTGTATTAGGGCCGCTTCATTTGGATGGATGGGAAGCTGTCTAAGAGGGAAGTATCTTTCTGCTAGGAAGTTTGTCTATGGAGATAAACACACACATAAATACAAAGATCTAATATATGTTGATCCCCAAACGTATTTTGAGGGTCTGACTCTTAAATTACTTGAAATTCTTCTTGTATACGACAACAGTCTTCAGGCCCGAGAAAAGGACTCTTTTATGGAGGATCATGTAGTTGACGTTATCTGGTTCTATAAACACAGCAAGAACACAACTTTTAACTACAGTCACTCCCTGGGGCCTGTATGTAGTTCTATCAATGTAGACAAGATATGCCTCACCGCTTTTAAGCTGAAACATCAAACGGAAAAGTGTCGTTTGATTTCCTCCTTCTCCTTCCACCCTCTACCCCTCCCGACTTTGGTATGATGTCACACGAAATTACTTCCAGAAACTGGGAGGATTGAGCAGCCGAGTTATAAAACCTAAGCAAGAGGCTTACAGCTTTCTTATCTACAACTTAATACTTACAGGGGCGAGAGTCTATCAATGATCAAGGCCATGGTAATTTTCCTGTTTTGTAAGAAATCTAAAATCTCAGCAGAGTCACAACCTGCCGAATCGACCCCATTTGTATGACCCATACAAGCACCTATCCCTCTACAAGACTGGCTACCACGACTCGTAAATTTGGAAACCTGTATTTTAAACTTCATCCCTACTTTTAATCAAGACAGAAAACCAAACAGATTGCTTTTAACGTAATCTTTGTGGTAAAAACAAAAATAACATGGAGAATAAAACATTAGCCAGTTTCTGTACCTGGGTGCTTACTTACCTCTCCCCTGCCCTCACCTTTTCTAAAGTTTTCCATTATGATTTTAAGATGTTATTTTTCCCAAAGAATGTTGACAACTATTTCCCACTTAAAGCTCTGGTTTAAAAAGAAATCGGGTTTAACGTGAGAATAACTCAGAAATTGGGCTTGTCCCAGGGTCCTGTGAAATCACAGGAGTTAGTACTCTAGAATCAACATTTCCCCTACACACTTTTCACTTAGAAGTAAAGGTGCTTGCTTCCTTTGACAAGAGGTTCATAACATACAGTGGTGGTGAAGCTGGTTAAAGAAACTGTCAAAGGTTTTGTTTTGCATTATTTCACATTACATCATAGAATTAAAACTTGAAAATGGAAGTCTATCCATCTCAATCACTAAAGCTGGTCAGGTGAAAGTCTACAAAACTCTAAATTAAAAGTTTTTTCATCTTCTTACTGAAAATACCTAAACACTGTGCTGAGACTTATTTTTTTAAACGAATATTAAAAGAAGAGAGCTTGGATTTGAAAAGGACAATGCCATACACTTTCTATGCCTCCTGTTCAGAGGCTGACGACTGCCCATTGCCACATTGAAAAACTGTTTAATAATCCTCCATAAAGGAGAGATTTTAAAAAGCTATGGCACCAATCAGGTAACAATAGATCAATCAGGTTTCCCTAAATGTAGTATTTGCAGTTGAAGCCTGGATAAGTAATTACATTCAAAGTAATGTACAGGGAGCTATCAATCCCCATTCATTCAGCACACATTCACTGAGCCAAGAGCTTTGCTGGGTTTGGAGATATAAAAATGAATACGACACAGCTGCTTTACTTCCAGCTAAAAGAATATACCTAAACAAAGAGCTACAGGGCAATGTGTTAAGTGTTATAATAGAGGTGTGCACAAAGGGCTGAGGGCCAAAGGAAAAAGCAATAAATTCTTTCTGGGAAATCAAGCAAGTGAGGGGAGAGATAAAAGAAGGTATGGTGATGTTTCCTTGTGATAAACTCGACTTTTTCTTTACTGTGTTGTCAAACGTAAGACAGTAATTTTAGGATTTGTGAACCGTTCTCATCGCAAGTGCTAAATTGGTCTACAAGCCAGTTTCATTTATGTTTGACACTGACTTCCAGTTATAATATCCCAAGAATAAACATTTCAAAACTAAACGTGATTTGTAGTATTTCCACCCAACACACACAATCCAGAACAGCACAAACACCTACGTGAATGAAACAGATACAAAGTTCAGAGATGTTTTGAAACATAAATGAATGAAAGACACATTCTAGAGACGTAGTGATATCATATTAACAATGCCTAAAATAAGTATCAATTTTTTTCTCTTCTTCTTAAAGCAAAAATAAAAGAATCACCTGATTATATCATGGTTAATATTTGTCTTTCTCTACTTCTGTGTTTAAAAAAAATAAGGAGGGTATTGAATCAACTTCTACTTAACATCATTTATTATGCATATCATATTCCTACTTATAACACAGTTGTGACAGAACCTCCATTGTCCATTACACACTAGCCCCAAACTTGAGTAATTCTAATGTAAGCATGAGAAACCACGTCTCCTTTGGGGTGAATTTCCAAATTCCTCTGTGTTAAACTGAGGTCTCATTTTCCCTGTGCCTGGTTTTCACAAGAAGGTCCATTCCACCCCATGTGCTCCTTTTCAGCTGTCAATAAACAGAGGCAGTGAATTCCCCCACGGCTTCACAAAGCTAGTTAGGCAGAGCCATTCATTCCTTCAGGAAAACAGGGCATTGATTTCAGTGAGTTCCCAGGGAGCAGCTGCAACAAAGAGATCAAAGGCCCACCTCTCTTTCCCTCCACTGCTTTCATTAGGCCAGGCCCAGACAAACAGCGACAGGTTTCCTCGAGACAAGGAGAGGGCCGGCAGACCACCTCATGGTTCAATTCAAATTCATCCGTTTCCTACATTCCAGTGACAGTCCAGAATGCTAACCATGACAGACCAGCACAATCACCCGGCATAATATACTGCTCGCTAGTTCATCCAAGGTCAGAGGGAGAAAACAAGCGCTGAGGGAAGTCCTCCGCTTCTAGGGCCTGCTGAGCCACGACGCCCCCCGACATTCCATAAATAAACTAGGCCCGCTCACTCTCCCTTTCTTTCTCCAGCCTGCAATCCCACAAGCGATGGTCTCACTTAATCTGCAATTTCTTTCGTGTCACCATACCTACACCACTGGGACACTCTATTCTCAACCTAATGGTTCTGCTGATGATAGGAGGTCTGCTACACGCACTGCCCTTCTTGGTTCACACCCAGTAAACTACTACCGTATGATGAACTGAGAGCTGTAACTCCTGGGGCTTCCCTCAGGCCTCATCTCCAGAGAAGGCCACGCGACCTAAAGAGAGACTCCGTTTGCATAAATTCTGTTTGCAAAACACAAACACGAACAGAGATAGAACAGTTAGCTTTTTGATGTGAGCTAGGTAATCACCGAAACTGGTAATCCAAGCTCTTAAATGACAGTCTGTGGGTGAATGAGGGAGGTGTGTGTGTGTGTGTGTGTGTGTGTGTGTGTGTGTGTGTGTGTGT